TCCCATATATATCTTTAATCCGATTTCAGGTTTATTTATCCATACAGAATTGGATATGCCTCCCATATATTAGTTCCGTCTGAAACCAAACTATGACTGCTCTAAAGCCAAATGTTGATAGGTGGTATGGTCTACTTCAAATAAATTCTTTTGTTACGAGAGCTCTGCTAAATATGCAAAGTGGTGTAGGGTATCATATAGTCGGTCCCGCCGGACTTTTGACTTTTCCTTATTAGTTTTTATTGATTTTATTTATTTATTTTTGAAGATTTCTGTATTCATTCCAAATGGTGGAGGGTATTCAAAGTTCGACCCGAACGAACTTACTGCTTTATAAATTTTTTTAAAGTTTTTTTTTTTTACCATACATTTCATTAGCAAGTGATAGATGTGGTTTCCCTTTCAAGTCAAATATTGAAATTATTTATATTGTAATAAAATTATTGTTCTTCCCTTCCGTACTTTTCAAATGACAAGTCCTAATATTTTTATAAAAAGTTTCCATCGTCCAATCTAAAGCTGCTTCCGTATAAACAATTGCCATATTTAGTGGACATACAACCCACCAACCAACTAGTCTTCATTTAAATCACTTTTTTTGGTTCTGACGTGTGCCATGCGGCCGTCTCAAAGATTACCGCTGGCATACCTCTTTAATATTCAAACAGAAGACAGTAAAAAAACACACACAAAACCCGAACCAACCTCAACGTGTGTGCTATGGCTTACTAATTGTTCAAAAAACAAAAAGAATAAGAAGAAACAAGCAAAAGAAAGAAAAAAAAAAAACAAATAAAAAACAACAATCAAAAAATTAATATCATTGCTGGTACCTACAACGAAGTGTTGCCACCCTCCTCCTTCCCCCTCACATATTTGAAAACTTATCGAAACAAATTGTAGAACAAACCCACTTCAGCTGATAACATAGAATTCTCTGTGCTCTTTTTTGTTTAGCAATCAAACAATTAAATTTTGATGGACTGAATTTTTAAAATGGAGTCGGAGACACGATAACTCGTTAACTTTTCATGTTATTTGTTTGTCTTACCCTTCAAATGTCGCCGTGTGATTAAATTTTTATGCATTTACCCCTGATATTTCTAATAAACAGCATTTTTTCCGTGCTGATATCTCTGATAGCGTAATAAATCTATGAGCTATGTATATGGAGATAAACATTTTTCTGTCGCCATAACTCGTTAATTATACAAGTTTTATTGTGTGCACCAACATTTTGTTTATTGCCATCGTATACTCAAAAAAATATTTGAAGAGTTTAAATTTCCATCAGCCGGATAGCTCGTGAATTAAGGAAACATGGGGGAATAAATGAAATACTTTTGGGTCTAAAATTTTCTGTCTAAAAAATCTGGCTGGTTTTGGAAAATTTTAGAAAAAAATTCATTCAAGAAAAAAATAGAAAATTTTATTCAAGAAAAAAAAAGAAAAAATGATTGGAGACTCTAAGAGCCGTTTGTTTCTTTTTTTTGAGCAATAATTTTTATGGAGAGATAATTTCTTTCTATGGAACAATTCTTGAAAAAGATTAAAAAAAGACAGGTTAAAAGTATCAGTTGGTTTTTACCAACAGGTGTATAACCTCAGCCAATGTCCGTTTATTTAAATATATCTTGACTTGAGTTATGATTATTCAAACTGATGACCCATTAAGGGGAGGTTCCAAAGATGTGAGTAAATATTGCCCATTTCGTATCTGACATAGGTCTGATATAAATATTACGAAGGCCCAAATTTGGACTAAAGAAGTCTATTTCCTTCATTTATTTGAGATATGTAATAATTTTTAGATATAGTGGAGCGACGTATTCCACTTCATATATAAAAATATTGGAATGTGCAAAATTTAAAAAAAATCGAAAACATTTTAAGCACAGAATTGTTAATCACAAAGTTAACCTTTTGTGGGGGAGGTACGTTGTCGATAAGTTCCATATTCACAGATCAGATATTTGGTTGAAAGAAATATTTAGATATACCAAATTTGAAAAATATCGCTGACTTGTTTCGCAAGTCATGAGAGCTACAATAACTGAAAATTGTGACCCTTTGTGGGGGAGGTAGCAGAAGGAGTGAGCCGATATATTCCATCTTCATATCACATCATGTGTAGATAAAAGCAATGGAAACTGTGAAAATTGAAGAAGATATAATGCTTATTTCGCTTTCTAAGAGCATTTTTGGATTCTCAAAATTTTGATCTATTTGTGGGGGAGAAACCATTAGAAGTAGACCCATGTCTACCATCTTCACATCAGCTCTTTTATAAAAAAAAATTTATTTATGTGTGGAATTTATAGAGAATCGGGTGCTTGTTTCGGATGCTATGGGAGTTTTGGTTATTCAAAATTGTAACCCCATTGTCGAGAAGATACCAGAAATTTTGACCCCTTCTTGGGGGAGTTATCAGAAGAAGTGGCCCGATATCTTTCATCTTCACACCAATTCTTGTGTTACTAAAAATATCGGAATGTGTGAAATTTAATGAGAATCAGGTGTTTGTTTCGCATTCTATGGTCGTTTTGGTTATTCAAAATTGTAACCCCTTTTTTGGGGGGAGGTATCAGAAGGTGTGGTCCGATATATTCCAACTTCACACCAGGTTTTGCACTGATAGTTATATTGGGATGTGTGAAGTTTAGAAGGATTCTGATGCTTTTTGGCTTTTTATTAGAAATATAATCGTTCAAAATATTGACCCCGGTGTGGGGGAGGTGCCAAAAGGAGTGGTCCGATATATTCCGTCTTGATATCAGATTTTGTGTCGATAGAAATATAGGGATGTGCCGAGTTTGAAAGGAATCGGATGCTTATTTCGCATTTTATGAGAGATATAGTTTTATAAAATTTTGATTCCTGTGTGGGGGAGGTACCGGAAGAAGTGGGCCTTTATCTACCATCTTTACCGCGGGTTTTGTGTCAGTAAATGTAATCGAATAAAAAAAAGGGGTGGAATATTTATTTCGCATTTTATATTTGTTTTGGTTATTAACAATTTTGACCCACTTATGGGGGAGTTACTGGGGGAGGTCCGATATATTCCATCTTCACACCAAGTCTTGTAGTGATTATTATATTGGTATGTCAGAAGTTTGCAAAGAATCGGATGCTTATTTCGAATGTTAAAATTATTATAATTATATAAAATGTTGACACCTGTGTGGGGTAGGTACCAGAGGGAGTGGTCCCATATATTCCATCTTCACACTACAAAGGAATCGGATGACCATTTCGTGTTTTATGTGCTTCGTGGTTATTCAAAATTTCGATCCGTTGTGGGTGAGGTGTCAGAAAAAGTGTATCTATGTCTACCATTTTCGAACCAGATATTGGGTAAAATAAAATATTGAAATTTGTGGAATTTGAAGAGAATCGGATGCTTATTCCGCAATTTATAAGAGTTATAATTATTCAAAATTTTGACCGGTTGTGGGGGAGGTACCAGAAGTGGTGGTCCTATATATTCCGCCTACACACCAGATCTTGACTTGATAGAAATATTTGGATGTACCGAGGTTTAAAAAAATCGGCTGCTTCTCATGGCTATCCAAAATGTTCAGCCCTTTGTGTGGGAAGGGCTTAACCCATGTCTACCATCTTCATACCAGATCTTGTGTAAAGAAAAATAGTGTGATGTGTGAAATTTAAGGAGAATCCGTCGCTTATTTCTGAGAGATATAATTATTCAAAATTTGGACCTGTTGTGAGGAAGGTACCAGAAGGAGTGATCCGATATATTCCAGCCTCACACCAGATGTTATGTTGATAGAAATATGGGGATGTGCCGAGTTTTAATGTGATCGGGTGCTCATTTCGTGTTTTATGAGCTTCGTGGTTATTCAAAATTTTGATCCCTTTGTGGGGGAGATACCAGGAGGTGTATTCCATATTTCATCTTCAAAGCTGATCGTATTTTAGTAGAAATATCGAGATGTGCCGAGTTTTAATGTGATCGGGTGCTCATTTCGTGTTGTATGAGCTTCATGGTTTTCCAAAATTTTGAGCCATTGTGGGGGAGGTATTTGATGAAGTTGACAGATATTGTCCATGTTCGCACCTGACCTAGCACTGGTAAAAATATTGGGATATGCTATGTTTGCACAACATTTAATTATCCTTTCCCTTGCTATGAGGCAATTTATTTGCTCTGAAAATGGAGCAGAAGGTGTAGACCGATATTGTCCATCTCCGAACTAGATCTAAGTCTGACAATAATATTACTATGTACCAAGTTTAGATCAAATCGGATACTTATATACCCTCAGAGAGTTTTTTGCGAAAAAGACGGAGGGACACACCTCTAGATCGACTCCAAATGTCCTGAAACGGATTTGGTCCAAAGAGACCTAGGTTTTAAAAACGTTATATCGATGAGGCACGTTTTCAACGTATCAACTAGTAAATACTAAATAAAGGTTTAATTTTATTTTTCAAAAAATCTCAGACTGAAGGGAAGATTCACTGCGGTTCAGGGAATATTTTTTCTACAAAACAAAAAAAAAAAAAAAAAAAAAAATAATCTGTTTTTTTTTCTCTTTTCGCTTTAGTGAAGATTTTGTATAAAACAGTCCACTAATTTTTTAAGGTTACATTTTAAAGAAAAAATATGCCGTCCAATAGTTTTTTTTTGCGGAAAATAGTTTGCAATCAAAAAATACTCCTGCCTCATGAGTCTGATTTTTTTCTCTTTTACAATCACTCGGTCCATTTTTCACTCTGTTTTTTTTCCGATACCAAATATTTCCGAACTTTGTTGCAAACTTATGTTTGCCTTCACACACACACACTTGGTCATATATCATTTGGTACAACAACAAGAACCCCAACACATCCCCTTAATAACTGACCAATCCACACATCGATAAGTAATTGGTTATCAAAGGCTCCATAAATCATTCTCAAGATTATTATGTATAAACAAATACATGTTGTTGTTGCTTGTGTTTTGTTTTATTGCCACTTTTTAATGTTCCACTTACCTATATTTTGTAAACCAAACATTAGGCCAAATCCTATCAGCATGGCCAGAAATGCACCAAGGCCGGCATGATTTTTGGAAAGAATCTCAAAGAAGACCACATACAACAGGGTACCGCACGCAATACCCTGCAGCACAGCCGAAGGTATGCTGTCCTCTGACGACGAAGAATCATGGCTAACGGCCAGACCAATTGCCACACCAATTGGACTGACAATGGCAAAGGTTATGGTATAGACAGCTGCCAGAATTGGTCTGGTTCGGGCCACAATCAGTTCAACGCCCACACAAAAAGCCAAGACCAATTTGTGAGCCGAGACAGCGGCAAACAGGAACCACACCGACGACGTGCTGTCCTCGAGGCCAATGGCCAAGCCTTCGAAAACTTCGTGCAACGACAGAGCCAAAACAATACCCAAACCCCGGAGAGATGAGCTGACAACATTTTCATCACCATTTCCGGATTGTATGGGTAAATGGGAATGACCATGGCCGCCGTGATCGTGATGCTGATGATCGGCAGCCTGATTGTCATGATGATGTTTGGGTGTGGGGCAGGGTGATTGTTTCGGCTGCAATTGCAGGTCGCTGTGTTTCTCACAACCCGATTCGCCGATTAGATGATTCACTGTCAGGGTCGATTGGAGATAGCTGGGATTCTCATAGCTTGTGCTGCCATTGGCAACCACAACGTCAACACTCTTAATGGTTCCCGCCACATTGTCTTCGGCCACATAGTCATGAGATTTCTTGCGGCCTCCCTTTACCAAGACGCTGTTGCGTACACTGTGACCCCTCTCAAAGGCTGCCACCACACAATCATCCTCCTCGGCATTGGGCGGCTTGTGTACAGTCTTGTGGCGATGCAAATACTTGTGGACACATTCCTCGATCAGATACATCAGAAAGAAGCCTGCGCACATCAGAACCTCGGCAACGGCAAAATTTGTTTCACCCATTTGGCCACAGTTCTGCAAATGTTCCACCACCTCCTGCACTTCTGGCAGCAGATGGATGAATGTTGTGGCCAGCAGCACACCGCCACCAAAATACAACAGATACTGCACAACCTTGGCCGAACGGGAATCGGGTTTCTTTTCGGTCCATTTCAACCAGTAGTTCAAAATGAACGGAATGCAGCCGAAGAGTATTGTTGCACAAAACAAGCTGACCATGGCCAGGCATTTGGCCACCAGCAAATCATGTTGGTCTGAAGATGTTTCGGGATGGTCGTGATCGTGGTCATGGGCCATTTTGTTGTTTTTTTTCTTTTAGTTTTTCTGTTTTTGTTCGAAGACAACAAGTGCGTAGAAATTTGTTTATATTTTTTTTAACTTCACTTCCTCCGCGCCTTATTCGGTTATGTTATTTTGATTTTTATGTTTTCGTTTTGTTTCTTTTTTTTCAGTTATTTTGAAAACTTGTTTCGTTTCCGTGGAACACGAAAAAAATCCGTTGCAAAGGTCTAACCTCTTAGACCTTTCGCAAACTACTGATCGTTTAACTAAGTGTTAACGGTTATTTTAAACAAGCAACATGACCACATTGAGGTCTCTCTCGCACTCTCTGGCTCAGTCTCTTTTTCAATAATCTTTTACCAGTTACTACAGAGAGTGTCAATCGTAGTTAAGTACCAAAGCCATGTTGATTGCTCACTGCGCACAGTGTAACGAACTGAGATTGGAAATTCCGCAGATATTAAAATTGTTTGATGAATCATTATTCTTAAAGGGACCTGAGAATTGTATGGAAAAATTTATTTTTTTTTACAGAAAAAACATTATCCAACAAGAATTTTGAATGTTAACTATGGGAAATGCAAAAGAAACATGATTTTTTCTCCTTTGGATTGCATTTTTTATATTCCCCAAAAATTTGCGATTTTTATACCCTCCACCATAGTATGGAGGGTATATTAAGTTTGTCATTCCGTTTGTAACACCTTGAAATACACATTTTAGACCCCACAAAGTATATATGTTCTTGATCAGCATAAAATTCTATGTCGATTTAACAATGTCTGTCCGTCTGTCCGTCTATCCATCTGTGGAAATCACTCTAGCTTCCTAACGAATTGATGTAGATTCATAAAATTTTGCTCAAATGTGTGTTATGTATGCAGGACTTTTGGTATTGAAAATGGGCCATGTAGGTCCACGTTTTGGTATAGTGGTACCTCCCGATATTCGTAATCTTTATGATTTGAGCGACATTATTTGAAGTTCATGATGGATGCTATGGCCTAGGACAAACAATTTTCTGTGCAGGTCCATGTCTTCGTATAGCCCCCACATAACGGTACCTCCCGATATTCGGTATTTTGACTTTATCGACATTATAACCGATTTTTTTAAGTTTCGCATTTGAATATTGTAACGGTTTATGACAAATGTTACCTACGCAGGTTCATGTCGTCGTATTTTAATGTTTTTTTATTGTTTTTGAGAATTACCAAATTCGCTCCAAATGTTGGAGGGTATTTAAAGTGCGACCTGGCCGAACTTACAGCTTTTTTACTTGTTTCAGTAGAAAAAAAGTATTTCTTAAGATATCGGAGGTTTTCTATAAAAAAATCATCCCAATGTTTTCTAAAAAATATTCTCCCAAAGAGGCTTGAATCGAAAAGATGTAGGTTTCTTTAAAAGGAAAAATGTCCTTAACGTTTTTTTATACCCTCCACCTTGGAAAGGAGTCGATTTAAAGATGTCCATCTGTCTGTCTGTTGACATCACGATACAGGCCACATTATTTGACGTAGAGCGTCAAAATTTAGCAGAATAATTTGTTTTGTGTCTAGGATGGTTGGTATTGAAAATGAGATATATCGGCCCACGTTTTGGTATAGTCCCCATGTAACGGCACCTCCCGATATTCGGTATTTTGATGGTTTTTGTCCCATTTTTTCATGGATTTTTCAAAAATTTGGTATTTGTAGATCATAATGTGGGTCCCTGTTCGTGTGGCGAAACATGATATGTATGGGTCCACGCTTTGGTATAGCCCCATATTACGGTACCTCCCGATATTCGGTATTTTGATGATTTGTGCCACATGTTTTCACGGATTTTTCTGAGCATTGGTATTTGTAGGTCATAATGGGTCATAGTTCGTGTGGCGAAACATTGTATGTATGGGTCCACGCTTTGGTATAGTCCCATATAACGGTACCTCCCGATATTCGGTATTTTGATGATTTTTGCCACACTTTTTCACGGATTTGTCTGAAAATTGGTATTTGTAGGTCATAATAGGTTCTACCTCCGTTGGCGAAACATTGTATGTATAGATCCACGTTTTTTTATATCCCTATATAGCGGTACTTACCCTAAGGTGGAGTGTATTAAAAGTCCGGCCCGGCCGAAATTAATGTTTTTTTTATAAAAATCTTCCATAAGGGTCAGGAAATTTTTATTGAAAAAATTATATCGAAAAGTAAGGCCGATTTTTATGCTATAGCCATATATATAATATAATACGGCCAAAACATTTTGAAGTAACGATTTTTGACGCTAGGTCTCTTTGGACCAAATCCGTTTCAGGATATTTTAAGTCGTCCTGCCTTCCGTATGCCAATATCGATCCATTTCTTTCGGTACCCCCCCCCCCCCTCAAGAAAGGTGATCAGTTTCACAGCAAGTCATTTACATTATGGAACACTTTGAAAATGAGATACGGCCAAAACGTCCTTAGCGAAATAACGGTTTTAGACCTATGTCTCTTTTGACCAAATCCGTTTCAGGACATTTGGAGTCGGCTTAGCGATGTCCGTCCGTCCTTCCGTCTGTCTGGCTGGTGCTCACGTTAACTCTCGAAGGGAGTATCCGATTTGGACCAAACTTAGTATATCATAATATTATTATGAAACTTAAATAGAGTTTGGAGATGGGAGAAAGGGAAAGGGTGATCCGATTTTGCTCCAAATTTGGAAATCCCAACATTTGCATCAGAGCTAAGTCAAGTACCTCCCCCACAAAGTGTCAAAATTTTGAATAATTATAACTCTTATAAACTGTGATGTAATGGTCGGATTGTCTTCAAATTACGCGTATCACAATATTTTTATTAACCGAAGATCTGAAACTCCTTCCGGTACCTCAACCCTTCCGGTACCTCAAAATTTAGAATATCAATGAAGCTCATAAAGTGCGAAATTAGCATCTGATTCCATTTAGACTTGACACATCTCAATATTTCGAACTACACAACATCTGTTATAAAGATGGTAGAGATCAGACCATTCCTTCTGGTACCGCCCACACAAAGGGTAACAATTTTGAATATCCATGAAGCTCAGAAAATGCGAAATTAATATCCGATTCTATTAAGACTTTAGAACATCTCAAAATTTCCACCAACACAAGATCTGTTATAAATATGGTAGAGATCGGACTATTTCTTCTGGTACCTCCTCCACACAGTGTTCAAAATTTTGAAAAGAAAAAAAAAAAAGAAAACATCCAAATCTCTTTAAATTTCACACATACGACCTCACCCACAAAGGGTCACATTTTTAATACTATTATCTGCCATAAATTGCGAAATAAGTTAGCGAGTTTTCTAAAAATTATCGCATAACTCATATAAAGTGAAGGAAGTAACCAATATAGACGAAACCTGGCACGTCGCAGTATTTATATCATATGTATTTAGGTCTGATACGAAATAGACAATATTGGAACGTACTACATAGAGGGCCAACAGTTTGAATAATCATACCAGAAGTCAAAATTTATTTAAATAATCGAACATTGACTGAGGGTATACATCTGTCGGCAAAACCGGCTGATAATTTTTAAACTTGTATTATTTTCAATTCCAAAAAATCTGAACGGATATTTCTCCAAGTCGATACACTGTGCTTCAATACATTTTTATCTAAGCATTTACTCTGCTCCATCTCCCTATCTCTCTCCGTTGTGTCTTAAAAGTGGCACTAACTGAACTGATTCATTCTCACTGTATCTCTCTCTCTTCACCACATGCTCCCTCTGAGAGCGTGATATTTTTAGATGGGGCTTTGTTTCGGATGTTAGTTGTCATTCAGTCAATCAAAACGAGTCACACACCGCAAAACTATTTTAAGATTTGAAATGTGCGACGACTTGGCTTTTTTTTGTTTCTCTTTTCCATTTCATTGCGATTGATTGACGGACGGACTAACCTTTCATCTCGGTTGATTCCTTTCCCAACTGACTTTGCAATTTTTTATGTTGCTATAGGTAGTCTGGCTAATAAATAGGTCTAGGCCATGTTGGTTTTCAAAGACTAAGTTTTTATTTTTGTGCACAAAGGAATAAGAATTGAAAAAAAATGGATTGAATGGCTTGTTTTTTTTTTTCTTTTTTGAAAAAAAAACCAGTTTTACTTTTCATTTTCATTTGTTTTGTTTTAGTCAAGATATGCAAATATCTATTCTTAATTTGTTGCCTAGACAACAACAACAATATTAAAATCCAATGGAACGCATTAGGTTCTGATCAGAAGAAGGTGTGTAGGAGGAGGGGCGGTGTTTGTGCCAGTAGTTGTCCCGCCATTAGTTGCAAACTATACACGAGATTGTTAGTTTTATTTTATTTCTTTGGAAATTAAAAATTCATCAAACGTTGCCAATAGTTTATTCACCCTAGGTACCCAACTTTGTTTGTTTATTAATTCAAATCTGGTGGTGGGCAGACGAGTGTTTTTATTTTGTTAGCTATTCGAGGGAATTTTTTCCCATTTTAATCGTTTTACTCGAAGTTACAATTTAAATTGAATTAAGATGGGCTATAAAAATGTTCCATTGGGAGCAAAACAGTTAGATATAATAAAGAAGGTAGTTATGAAATAAAATGTAATTTTTTATATATTTTTTTTTTTAAAGTCTTGCCAAGGCATCTTTGAAATAATTTGTCTTTATTTTGATCTAAGATCTCTCAAAATTGTCGCAAAATTCCTATTATTTTGTACAAAAAATAGCCACCCAAATGCCATGCAATTTTTAAATAAAAGCCAGTAAGGAAAGGTCAAAAGTCAGGCGGGGCCAACTTTATGATACCCTACATCACTATGCGTATATAGTAGATCTCCCGTAACAAAAAAACTATGAAACTTATTTGATTGAGTAGCATGGCTTTACTGTATTGAACTCGGAATCGATTTTCAACAAATCTGACGGTGGCTTTGGGCCTCTAGTACCAAATAACATTCAAAAAATATTTTTCGGAGCAATAGATATATCGGACCGAGGTTATGAAAAAATCTGTTCAATTTGGGCAGATATTACATATATGGTGGAAAATAACCATAAAAATCTGAACCGATCTCGATAAAATTTGGCAGTATTATTTTCGAGCTGTATCTGATGTGCGGTATCAAATAACATTGTTGTGGAGTGTGTGCTACGCATGTGAGGGACTATAGCTATATCTGTACCGATTTTCACCAAATTTAAAGTACTTGTTTCTAAGACGAATTCATTCGGAATTGTCAATATTCAGTCCATTTGGGCTAATATTAGCCATTTG